TTAGACACTCTATTTTGCTCACATGGTGCTCTGTACCTCCCTCTATTGGAGCCTTGGTCACATTTTAGGGGGCAACTCTTTATTAATAAGAATTGCCTATTATGTGCCAGAAAATTTACATACATTCTATCAGAACAGAAATGCTAGGTTTACATATATTTTTTCAGAACAGAAATGTTAAGTAATGTATCCAAGGTAATATGGCCGGGAAGCTGGGGTCCTATAACCCATACACAGTTATTAATTATCACTCTGGAAGCCTGAGGTCTTTTAAGTAAACCATAGGACTTTTGTGAATGCTGTGGATTCTTCCAGTTTACTTTTCAGCTCCCAACCCCTCATTGCATCTTAAATTTAATAATTCAGCACGTTTTGATAAAGACAGCCCGGTCTCTGAAATCAGATAACCTGAGTTCCATCCCTGGCTCTTGGCTTTATAATGTACTAAGAATATAATGTTGAGAAAGAATTTAGATGGATTCCTAAACAAATATATTGATACTTAAAAGTTTTCTATAGATCAGGTGATACACTCAAGGCTGTAGCACACACCTGGCGCATTAGTGCGCATTAATAAACATTAGAAATCTTCCAAGAATAGCAGGGATTTTGTTTTGTTCACATTTATATCTCAAACACTTGGACAGTAAACACACATGGCAGGTATTTTCACTATATGACTGTTTGAGACATATAAATATACACATATATACATGCATATGTATTTATATATATTATACAGAGAAAATATATCTACTTGATAATATGTTTTATATATGCATATTATACTGGGAAAGAGAATTCAAATTCACAAAGTAAAATGGAGATTTTAGTTAACTGAAATTACAGAAATTCAAAAAACCAGCCTGCTATTTTGGGAAAATATAGTTGTGTTTTCTATGGTCATATTAGTCCAGTTGTCATCACGGTGGTCAGATGAAAAATAAAACTTGTCCTGCATCAATGGTGCTAACATAGCAAATGAAAGCCCAAATCTTTCCATTTTAAGAAGAATAAAAGTTAATAATTGCCTTTGTGTATCAGGCAGAGCTTCACTAGTTACCCAAGTAAGTGATGAGTTTAATGGTTTGGTGGATTTTGAAATTTTAATTTAACTTGAATTTTATGAGTCCTATTTTATTATCTTCTTACAAGAGAAAACAGAATGCTATTATTTACAGCCCTGGTTTTCACAGAGACTGAAAAGACAAAAAGGAAAACATTTGAAATCCCACTCGACTTGCAAGACTAAAACCTCATAAACTAACATGACAAATGTATGATTTGTGTAATACAATTACAGTTTCGCTGTTTTTGTCACAACAATCTGTGGTGAAATGTAACAGGAAAGTAGATAGATAACAAAAAAATGTGGTTTTAAAAAGTAAAATTCCAAACTTAGCAAATAGAAAAGCACTCTGAAGTTTTAACAGGGATTTTTCAATGTCATCTACAAACTAGTGATACAGGTAATTGGTGACCCTAATAAAGGAAGGCTTGAAGGAGTAACACATATTTCAAAAAAGTCTTTATCAAGTGGAGCCCTTGCGAGAAGTCCATATTAAGCATTCTATTCTCCTCTTTACCCAAACATTACACCAGGCAAACATAGGCATTTGCTACATTGTTTTTTAAATTTAATGGGAGACACTACCCTGGAATTCCTAACCTTTAAGGAGTATCTCTCCTTCTAATGACTCTCTCTCACACTGTTTATTGGAATCAGGAGATTATGTTTACTGTCTAGATTGGGAGATCTCAAACCACACAGAGGAAATCAGAAATCTGTCACTCACTGCTATCACCACAGACTGCCTCTGAGTGTGGCACAGGCTCCATCCACGACAGCCAGATGAAAGGACAGTCTCAAAGGTGACTCTGGAGAGGAAGGGAGACTGTCACCCTAAAACTTTCTAGGATAATTCATTTTCCTTTCGTCTACCCAGTCGAAACAACTATTGACATCATCAATGAAATACTTAAGTCTTCCTGGAGGTGGCGTGGAGTAGAGTGAACATTCCAGAGTCCCAGCCCAGAATAGATGTACATGGAAGACATTCCATTTTTCTGTCGTACACCCATGCCCACTGCCCCAAGCATTGCCCTTCTGGCCTCCTTCCTCAGCCCTTGCGTTCTGTCCCTCCTGCTCCTGAAATGGGGCACAGAACAGAGGAAAAGGATCCTCCGGAATGGGCGACTGAAAAGAGAGGAGTCGAGTCTTCCATCACTTTTCCTGCTTTACACTTCACACATTTCTTATTCCTAGCTCTGTCTCATGCCTTTCAAAGAACATACTGGAGGCCCCGTTCAGTTTTCACTTCTCAGTCTTCCCCATCCTGTTCAGTACCCTAAACTTTGTCCGTTATTTAAAATAACCCTTTCCCCCCTCCCCCTCTTCCTACGGTGTTTCAACTTCTCCGGCTCTCTTCCACGCCTTTACCTCTTCCAGTTCTTTCTTCCCGGTACTGGGAGGAAAGGACCCGCCCGGGGCTGCCCTTTGCTCCTCTTTTCTCCTCCCGTCCCTCGTCCCTCGCTGAGCCCCTTCATCTCATCCACTCCCGCGTCAGGCTCTCCAGATTCCCGGGCTGTTTGCTGGTGAGAAATCTTTGCTGCAGCGAGGACCGGAGTCCCCTGCGCGCAGCCCAGTGGCAGAAGAGGGCTAGGCTGCGAGGGAAGCGAGGACGGCAGGAGAGGGAGGCAGCCCGTCCTCCCCGAGAGCCCGCAAGGATGCGGCAGGGGCCCGGGGGCATGGGGAGGTACTGACCCCCGAGCCCCTCATCCCGGCTTGCGGACCTAGCCCGCGGGCCAGTGTCCTGCCAAGTGCAGCCAAGAAGCAGAGGTGACTGGAGAGCCAAGAGAAGGGCGCTGGGGGTGCCCAACCCCTGAGTCGGTTCCTCTGCGATCCGAGGTAGAAGAGAGGAGGGAGTCCGCGAGGGGTGAGGAGAAGGAAAAACCCGTCTCCAGACTGGCCCCGGAGCGTCAGAGAGACCCGGGCGGTCCGGTGAGCACCCAAGGGGTGAACCCGGCGGGGCGGTGGGCGAGGGGCGCGCGGAGGGAGCGCGCGCTGGGGAGGGGACGCGAGGAGGGCAGCGGGGCTCCGGCTGGCGCAGGCTCGGGGGGATGTCGGCGGGTGCGAGCCGGGAGCGCGTGCGGCGGCCGCGGCGCCAGTGTTTGTGTGTATGTGAGAAAGCGAGGGGCGAGCGCCAGTGCGAGCGAGGCAAAGACAGAGCGCATGTCTCATCCCTGCGAGCAGCCACTGGACGCTCCACCACCATCTTTTGCATGTGCAACATTTGCAGCCGGACAGAAAACCTCTCCCAGGGCTATGGAGACTGCGGGCAAAATCTGGCAGCTCGCGATGGATTGCTGAAGGGAACAAGTCATAATCTTAAGCCACCCAAACCTCTCTCCTTTTTTCTTTCTTTCTTTTTTCTTCTTCTTTTTTTTTTTTTTTTTTTTTTGGTTGTTTTTAATTTTAGCGCCATCGTCTTCAATGCCTCTCTGAACAGCCTTTAGGAAGAGTGTGAGAGAAAGAGAGAGAGCGCGCGCCAGGGAGAGGAGAAAAAGAAGATGAGGATTATTTGCAGACAGATTGTCTTGTTATTTTCTGGATTTTGGGGACTCGCCATGGGAGCCTTTCCGAGCAGCGTGCAAATAGGTAAGCTCTGCTCCAGTCGGGTGTGCATGTGGCTGGCTGTGGCAGATACCCGAAAGTGAGTTAAATGAGTTCCTTATAAGCAATTCAGAGAAATCTTTGGCGGCTCCCTTCCCGTCTGCTTCCCTCTTCTTCCTTTCTCTCCTTTACAAAAAGACTTCCTCTCTGGTGCAGGTTCCTCCGGACTATACCCAGGGCAGCCCACCCATCCTTCCTCAGCCCATACCCCGATTTCCCCTTTGGCTGTAGTCGCTTAAGTAGGACTGGAATAAGTTGGGGGAAAAAGCCTTCGTGGGGTTTGATTGCATTTTATATGATATTTCTTTTCATCCCTTTTTCTGGAGCATGAAGGGATGTCAAGTTTGTTTAAAAAAAAAAAAAATCCACTTCTTCCCATATTGGACGCCGCAGCTTTCTTGCTAGTACAGAAAGACAGTGTTTGGGCAAAAAAGCATTTCCACCGCACCCCCTGCCTTATCTGCTACCGGTTAGCAGATTCTAAAGTTAGATCCCTTTCCAGGAACCTTCTCTCCTTTTATTTTGTTTTCCTCTTGAAGCTTTTGCCCTTATTTCTCCGCCTCAACTCTGTGTCCAGGGACCCCCTCCATCCTTTGCTTTTCTTGCTATTCTCCTCTCCTGTCTTTTAATGGGACGCAGCTATTGAATTTCTTCCAGCTAAGCCCAGCCTCAACACTGCATCATTTCTCGTGGACTGTGCACAAAACGGAGCTAATTAGGCTGAGTCTACGAGCTGCAGAAAAACAAAGTTCATTTCTCCTTTCCGATTTCTCTCTTCCCTACGTGTCCCCACATCCCTTCATTCCTGTATTTTAATGTAAATCTCTTTACCCTTCACCTGCATTCATCTTAGAGAGAGATGCCCTGAGCTGGCTCGTGTAGCAGCGTGCTGGGAATCACAGGGAGGGCAAAAGAGAGGAAGGAAAATACATTAAATGGTCTCAGAGGTCATTGTGATCATGACAGATTGGGACAAGAAAAAGCTGAGCTGCTCTAAAGACTAAAATACTAAGTATGCACCTGAGGGACAAAGGGCAGTTTCCCAAGATGTGGCACGGTTAGCTCCTTAATTATATGTGCTTGTGAATGGTAGTGGATTTGACAGTGCTTGGGGTGGGTATAACATTTACAAGAGGAAATATTGAATGTGCTTTTCCTGCCGTTTTTAATAGGTGGTCTCTTCATCCGAAACACAGATCAGGAATACACTGCTTTCCGATTAGCAATTTTTCTTCATAACACCAGCCCCAATGCGTCGGAAGCTCCTTTTAATTTGGTACCTCATGTGGACAACATTGAGACAGCCAACAGTTTTGCTGTAACAAATGCCTGTAAGTAAAACATAAGTTATGGATAAATTAGAAGGTAGTCAAAATGAGTCCCCTTCCTCTTTATTATCATTACATTTTTTAGAAAGAAATTAAAGATTCCTACAGTTGCCTGGTTCCAGAGCAAATCAAAGTTAAAAACAGGATTTAGTCTCAGGGATATTCGGTTGGCTCTTTCTTTT